TATGTACACATATCCTAAGTGTGCTTCTGCAAGGTCGTGAAAGCATGCAGTGAGCACAAGCTTTTAATATTAACAATTTCACATTTCACTTATCACTCTTTTCTTTGAATCACCTTCTGATGAGGTTTTTCAGAAATGCAGGCAAAACTGAGTGGACCTGAGGGGAACAGCAACTTGAAAACAGGAAAAGTCCTTCTTTGGGCCTGACTTCTAAAGCAATTTATAGGAAAGAAATATGTAGTGATCCAAAGACCCCAATTATTTTAATCAGGGTCATGACCACAGTTGGTCCCCAAATGTGTACGGGTGTGAAGATGTCTACATACAGGAAGTGGGTCTGGTTGTTACTACTGATGTGGTCAATCTGCCCCTGAGCTTGTTTGAGTAAGGAAGGGGGAAGATGTAAAAATGAGACTGTGCTTTATTTAATCTCTTGTGGGCATTTTTATCTCCCCTACAACTTTCTAGAGAAGTTACTCTATTGCAGCCAGTGTCTCAAGACTCATTCTCCCCACCCTACTTCTTTCCTCTACACTAACTCAGACTCACAGGCATAGAGAAAATAATGCAGCAGCTGAAGCTGAGTATCATCAGTTTGTTGTTGAGCTGAAGTGGTGATAGCATCAAAGGAAATGGATGGGGATTTCTGAGATCAGAGCTGTTAGGGCCATTCATGATTTGTTGCCAGGCTGAGAGCTGCTGCAAGATATATCTGCCTGAGAAATGCTGATTAATAAGGTAATTGAGGTTTTCTATGAGCGAGAAGGAAAAAATGAAAATATGACTAAAAATGTTCTTTTTGAAATGAACAACATTTTGAGATTGCAAATTCCAGACAATAGCAGCAGCTACTGCTATGAACGATTTCTATACAAAAGCAGCAAACTGCCAGTCGAGTAAGACGTCTTTTATGTGTCTCTGTAGGGAGGAAGGTCAGAAGGTCAGTGTCTATTTTCTTTTCATGGTAAAGTTTCTTCATGCTTGTTACTTTAATACAGAATATTTACTGTTCGTCTTAATGTCCATCTCTGCTTTCCTTAACATGAGAATCTTATTTAGTTTATTCTCGATCATTAGAACAAGACCTACATGAAAGTGAAATCCCATATCCTAAACTACTGTAGTTCTGCTCTCAGGCTCTGCTAAAACACCTGGAGCTAATTTCAGGGTTGCCTTGCTGAGTGTCACAAAACTATTTGAAGTGTGTATGCTCTATAAATTCCAGCCTACTCCATCATCTCTGAAGAAGGATTAAAACTGAATTGGATTGGTGGCATCCTCCTATCAGCCAAATAAATATTTGATTTGATTCAGTCTCTCTTCTTCCTCACAGAAAAAGTACCTCATTTCCATGAGTTAGACTTACCTGTCCCCACTTTTCTTTTACTTTACTTTGATCTGCCATTGAATTGTGTGTTGGTTACCTCAGAATACACAAGGTGGTTTTTTTATTCAGATAAGGAAGTGAAAACACTGAAACATCTGCATCTCAGAGTGAGACTATTTTGTGTGCATGTGTGTGCATGTGTGTGCAAAAGAACCACTTCAGTATGACTACATTGTTTTTCAGCCCTGTGTGGTGTGACTCAGCACTAGTTAATTAACCCAATCAAATAGGCCAGATTTCTCTTCTTCCTATTTCAGAGCTGTTCTAGACCTCATTTTGGATGTGCCTTGGTTTTACCCTGTATAGCCAATTACATTTATACCCATCAACATCAGTGCCCTTGCCACTTCTCTTGTGGAATTACACACTGGGAGCAGTTAAGCCAGGACACTCACACGCGGCAACTGCCCTACTTACATCCAGTGGCATGAGCCTTTCTGCATTAGAACATGCGGAAGGTCTTTACACAGATATACTATTCTCAGCATTGCAAAACCTAGAGAGGCAAATAATCCTTTCCACCCTTATTTTTATCAGCAGAAGTGGGGGCTAGTGAGGTGGGGTGAGAGGGAGGTGTGAACACCTTTGAAGAGTGCTAGTCATCTGATTTCACAACATTGTATTTTTCTGAAAAGAAATATGAAACATCTGCCTAGGCCAAAACATATAAACATGTGTTGGGAGGAGGGAGTAATGCTTGCTGCATCCTTAGTAAGAGGAAAGAAATTATAAATATGTCTGCAGAAGTGAGGCAAGAAGGAAAAGTAGGAGACTTGCCCTTCAGCCAGCCAAGTTGTGTTTGTAAGAGGATGGCTGTCTATAAATGGAATTGTGCATCATTGTTTCTCCATTCTGGAGGATTCCTCACTGAAGAGACAGGACCACTTGAAGGAAGTAAGGCATCTGGTTGTTTTGTAATGAGAAACAGGAATGCTCTTAATAATAAACAAACAGGACATTGTATGCCATCATCACAGGATGTCCTTCCTTCTGCCACACACTGACTTGGAGAGAAGGAAAAAATTGACAAGGGCTCTCCGGGCCCACTAATTACTATACCAATCCTTCTTCCACTAGCAGCACATTCTAAAGTGATCAGTTGAATATTGTCTAATACGAATTTAGATCTGAGGGCTTTTTTTAGTATGTTGTACTTAAAAGTTGGTGAATGCCTTTTTAATATGTCTTGTTTTGCATGTATGTAGGTGTGTAATAATCTTCCCCATTTATTATTTAAAATTATGTGTTTTTTCTAACTTCCTTACTAAATATCAATGTAAAGAGATTTAAACATGGAATTAACTTATAGCCCTTGATTTTTGCAAGAAATAACTTAAATTCTGAGGCTCCTGAATTGTTTTCAAATAGAATACCACAGTTGTTTAGATGTATTTGTTAGAAGCTTTAAATTATATGTTTATATTCTATAACCTGGAATGGACTTTTCAATTGCTGGTTTAATGATATCTCTTTTAAATTAAGCTAGAGGGGGAAATGAGCTGTGTCTTTTAGACCTCACAATTCAAAATAATGGAATAATGAATGGATTTCTAGTAGAAATTAGATGACAGAGGCAAAGCCATAGTAATATTGAAGTCATATGTCTCCTTCATGTAGAAGTAAGGCTGGCTCTAAGGGACTGCTAATATCCCTATGCAGAAAGAGGAAAAACCTCAGTGAAATGTCAGAAAGAAAAAAAATTCCCCTTGGTTGGATCAGAGTTTCATTGGTTCTTCTCCGTATGAGTTACAGGTATAGCCCCACCCCCTGCTTTTGGCAGCCGTGACTGTGAGTAAATCAAATGAGTGGCTAATAGGAAATCTGAAACAGGGAGGGGAAAGGAACAGGCTGTTTAGTTTACACACAGACTGAAAGTATTGTAACACTCAGCCCTCCAGTGTTTCTGAGAGGCAAAAGCAGTAAGTGCAGCAGCACCTGTTTGACAGAAAAAGAGAGAGAGGCACAAGCAAAAGGAGTTAACTCTCTAGGTGTGAGTCAGTCTTACTCTAACATACCAAGTGGAAGGAAGAAGAAATGTTTACTGGGTAGATATGAGCGAGACTTATCTTAAACGTGGAGCTTCTGTTTGGAAACATTTGTGGACTCTACCTTGGTAAGGAACTTGATTCCTTTTTTCTCCCCTGAATCTGTTACGGTCTTTTTAGTGCTGTGTTAATATAATATTAAGCTAAATAATTAGACTAAATAGCAAATGTTTCTTGTTAAAACTGTTCTGTGTTCAGATTTGGAAGACCTCAGCATTAACCCTTTCACTTCTAGACGTAACTGTCAGTTCACTGGAGTTTCAGTATTAGTCTTTATTTTCATCTTGATAGTCAGTCAGTAAATATTTAGCTGATGATTTGATTTGACTTTAAATTAAACCAAAATTTAAAGAAATGGTTTCTTCAAAAGCTATTAGGAGGCTGTTGTGATGAAAAATAAATGGGATAAATTTTATGTAGAACATTTTATGAAGTGTATCTACATTGTCCAGAAAGTCTTGGTGTGGTTACTGGCTGTTTGATTTTAACTAGGAGTCAGAGACTGACGGGTACATTTTTTATCCTTGCCCTCCCGCAAAATGGGTCTTTTAATTTTGTAGTCTATTTTTAATGTTTTGGTTGGGAGAAGGAGATGGAGGAAATTCCACAATGGTTGGATATTTCTAAAGGGAAAATGAGTTTTCGATTCTTTATTTGAAACCATTTACAACTACCAGCTTGAACAGGGACATTCTTTAGTTCCCCATATCATTCAGAAAGATGATGTTGTAATGCCTGACAATTTGATACTCTTTCTGTCCTAAATAGACATAGGCAATCAAGGATTTGATGGAATTGTTTCATGACGATTCTTTTTAGTACCATTAGCTGTTTAATTCTGTGAGATGTCATCAAGACAAAGAAACAAAAGGACTTTTTTGTTGTTTTTGTTTTTGGTCCAAGCGAATGTGTTCCAGTGACTTGTGAAAAGCTGTTGCCGCAACGCTGTTGGCAGGATGTTGGCTTTTTCAGCCTTCCATGTCAAAGGATATCAGGACGTCAGAAGGGGGCCAGGTTGTTTTGAGAGTTGTTTGTGTGTTGGAAGCCGGTGGGAAAGTTCAGGCTTCCCCATTTGTGAAAGGAAAGGCAGGGTTC